AGGTATATATATATATATATATATATAATTTTATATATATGGTGATCGTATGGATGAGCCACAAGGAGAGAGAATATATTGGTATGATTTGTAGTTGTACACTAGTTTTGATATATATATATATATATATACCGGTAGATATGCCAAGTGAAAGAATATACTATGTGAATTTACTATTATATTGTGTATATTTATATAAATAAATATACTATATTTGTATACTTACATAGATATATAAATATATACATCTACACAACATTAGTAAATTTTCATGCGAGACGTCGAGTGAATAGAACGATACTCTAACGGCGTCGACATACTGTATATATACAAAATATTACTATCCGCCAAGTGAAAATAGTCCAGGTTACGTGATTTTGAAGATATTTCTTGTGATATTGAAGATATTTCTCTAAATGTCACAAAGTTTGACGGTGTTGTGTAGCTGCTCAAAGCCAACTTGTATGAAGTATCAAGACCGGAGTGGCGGCAGAGGTACTTTACCCTACCGCGGCTGCGCAAGATCGCGGTCGAGTGTTTGGAAGCTCTGCAGTTTCTGCATGCGCTGGGCATGGTCCACTGCGACTTGAAACCCGAGAACATTCTCATGCAAAACTTCGAAACATGCCAAGTGAAACTCATCGACTTTGGGTCGGCGTCGTTTGTATCGGACGAGCTCACGTACTACATCCAGTCCCGCGCGTACCGTGCCCCAGAGGTACGACATATATATATATATATATATATATATATATATGATTCTGAGCGCCTCGCAGGTGATCTTGGGTCTTCGCTACGACGACCGCATTGACTTGTGGTCCCTCGGGTGCATCTTGGCCGAACTGTACACTGGTCGGGTCTTATTCGAGCACAACTCGATCGCGGCTCTCCTGTCCAGCATGATGGGTCTGCTGGGGCCGCTTCCACCCGCGATGGTCGCTGCCTCCCCCCAAGCTGACAAGTACTTTAATAAGGCGATGTACCTGACGGACGAGGACGGACGGGTGGTGGTGCCGCTGCAGACGTCGCTGTGGCAGGTCCTCGACTGTGGAGACGCGGCGTTCGTGTCGTTTCTGCAGACGTTGCTGCATCTCGACCCGGCGCGACGCGTGTCGGCGGCGGCTGCCCTCAACCACCCGTGGCTCCAATCCAACGTGTACGGGATTAGCGACTTTAGCTGTACCTAGGCAAGACGGGATATACTAGTATTAATATATATTATATATATATAGTATAGACAACGGAAGTGTTGTAGGTGGGTATCACAAAATTAAATGATTTTTTTTTCGGAAATTTTGTTGTGTACAGACATTTGCTTCGTTTGTGATTGGTTAAAAGGATATTGCATTTAAGCCAATCAATCGCACATGAGTAGCAACTGGATTCATCGGTACTTTACAAGTAGTAGTTACTAGTATAATCCTAGTAATAGTAGGCAGTACGGCAGGCCTTTCAACAACTAGCAGTGCGAGATAGATGGAAATGGATCCGACTTGCTCAGCACGAGCACGTGCAGTTTGTGGGAGAGGAACCCCTTGACGTAGTTGTTGATGATCAGGTTGGCCACGACGCACTCGACGGCGTCCATGTCGAGCGATGTGCCCATGAGCGCGACGGCGGCGGCGAAGTCGGTGAGCCGGACCTTGTCGCTCTTGTTTCCGATTAGATACACCTTCTTGAGCAGAGTGCGCATGACCAGCAGCCCCAACTTTTGCATGAGCAAGTACATGCCTTGCTGCACGAACTGGTCTTGGTATTGCTCCAGACACTATCGAGATATGGACATCAATACTAGTAATGATTTAGTAGCGGTAGTTTTGGACGTGGAATTACAAATATATATATATAGACCATACGAATATAAAGAGATATAGAGATATATATAGAGTAAACGCGATAGTCGTGGTACTGATGTACAATACATTACGACTGTAGTTCAGTGGCGAAGGAGTCATATATATATACAAATCCGTTGTAACGAATATATATATATCACCATACGAATATTTATATATATATGTGTAAACACTATATACATGGTCGGCATGTACTTGGTCCTACGAATATACATACCACTCCGTCCCAAATCACAGACACGTTTGGACATTCTATTAGTTGTGAAATTAGAAAACAATCAATTTTATTAAAACGATTACCTTATCCAGTACTGTGGAGCCAATCACAACGAAGGTGACATGGTTTCTTTCTGTGAATTAAATTATACAGCCGAAGATACCTCTTATTCTCGATATATTTAAGACAATCTCCATACATTCCTAAAGTCCGGTGACATTTGAAAAATTTGGGTTGAGCGGCTGATTTTTTTGAAGAATACACTCGCAACTTTTGGAAGAATGGCAATATAGTTATATGACCTTATAGCGAAGATTCTGCTCTTTTGATTGGCACAAATTTCACACAAATCCAATGATTGATCATAAAACCACTATGTATATCAAACCTGTCAGTGATTTGGGACGGAGTGGTACTTCCGAAGTATATACAGTATATATATATATATATATATATATATATATATATAAACAACATATATGTAAAACCGTGTATCTTTGTGTGGTCGTGCTGTACCTGGTAATACGCGAGCAGGTTGCCTTGGCGGATGGCCGCAGCGATATCGACGTATTCCGTGAGTTGGTACTGACGCAGGAGCGCCGGGGTTGGCAGTACGCCCAGCGCCAGCTTCACGGGCACCAAGTACTGCAAAATCATGCTAGTACATGCTAAGGTGTTTGGGAGACAAGTACGTTCTTAAGTACCGCTTATTCCGCGTGCACTCAAGGTGGCAGTGTCGCCATGCAAAGCCAAAGCACTCGTCCGCGTCGGTGTACTTGTCCTCGAGCATGCGGATGCGCCCGAGGTAGTACATGTACGTGACCTGGTCGCGCTTGTCGAAAATCGAAAACGTCTGCTTGTTGATGGCTTGGATCACGTTGCCGCAGAGATTAATCTTGTTTAGCTATGGGTACAGGACCATCACAATCGTTGTAGCCATGTACCTAGTACTAGTGTCCTTATGTACGTACCCGAAAGTAGATCTTGAATAGCTGGTTCACAATGTACAACGTCGCCGGCTTCTTGCTCAACTCTGGGGCGGCGCGGTCGTTCAAGGTCATGGCAAACCCTTTCTTCAAGTTTTGCTCTGCATTGGCCTACATCCAGCGTCATGACGGTGACGACATCCACCGGATTTTCTTACGATCGTACCAATTTGTCAGTCACTTCGATACCGCGTGTCGCGGACAGCTCGGCGTCGGCATGCTGGGCCAAGATGCGGGTATCAAACGTGAATCGCTGCAGAAGCGGCACGAGCCAGTTGTTTTGATCGCGGAAAAGCTCCAAAAACTGACTGATCGATGGACACCACGCCGTAAGAATCATCCCGCAGGTGCATGTAGTTGACGAAGAGTACGTACACAAAGCCGACGACTTGCATGTCGTACGCGTCTGCGTACTTGTTTTGCTGGACCAGTCGCTTGGCCTTGAGCAGTGGCGCCACCACGTCGTGGTACCCATTGGACAGAGTGCTCTGGCAGATCGAGTCGATGGCGCTGTCGGACTCTTGGATCCGAGGCGCGGAGCTGTCGTACGATATGGCGAGCAATTGAGCCGCTCGGCTGCTCTGCTGTCGTTGGAGGCAGCCTTCCACCTCCTTGACAAGGTTGGCCACACCGCTCATGTCGTTGTGGGCGAGATGGTGCAATGTGCCTCATGTTTTGGCAACGCCTGATTTTGTCAACTCAGGTTTTGTCAAAATGATAAACGTGACAGATCATTGACCTGCATTCATTCGACCATAACGTAGATGGCCAGTTTATGGTGCACGGGACAGTTTAAGGTGCACTCAAACTGGCCAATGGAATTGCTTGATTTTTGGAGTAGCCAATCGAATCACTAGGAAAATGAAATCACTAAAAAATAAGCAAAACCAGCATACATATTTTAAGCTTATTGAGTGGAATCGAAGTAAATGAACGCTAAGCTGAAGTCTATTCAAACCGATTAAATAAGCAGAAGAATGCGGCTTCATACTATACTTTTCAGAATTGAAATCCCGGTCCTGGGAGACGAGTAAGCTGCATTCGACGACGAAGTCTCTTTCAAGTGCACCATAAACTGGCCATCTATGTTATCTCGTGAAGTTCAAATGGCCACAACGTAAAAGAGACAGTATCGAATTCCCTAGTTTAAGCTTTATCCCATCATCCGAATACAGATCCATTTAAAGAGTTTTAATCAGGGAGATGCAGGAACAGGCCGTAAATTTGACATTGCGATCCACTACCACGCGGTGGTCCCATCGTCTTGGCTGCAGTGTCCATGCGTTTAGCATTCACCACATGTGTGCGAAGCGATCGCTGAGGAATCGAATATGCGCCTGCAGCAGCAGGGATTGTTAGCTTCTTGGAGATTACGTCTGTTATGGCCTTAGCCACAACGTCAGCCGTGCACGACGTTTTTCGCGGCATTTTGATTTGAAACCAGCAGAACCCCTCTATAAATTGATAAATGGGTATAAATATTTGAAGGTGTTAGTTGTTGCAGGCTTTTATTTTATCCAATCATATCAATTCTGGAGTTCTATTGGGTAATGCGGCTCGGATCATTCGCCTGCTCACTGATCCGTCACGTGAGATATTTCCGAGAAAATGATTCAGTTCTTAGCGATGGGAGGGTATATAATATACTCAAAGCAAGTTTATTTTCACGTCACTTACAGGTAAAATTCTATAAATTGTTGGTCGTATCACACTTAAACTTGGTTATTGTAGTAAATATCATCATCCTATTGTCGTACCAACTGTGCTATGCAACCTCAGATAGGTATTTCAAATTGTCACTGGTATTCAAAAATCCTTTTTTTCAAAACTGTTTTCTGCATACTACTAGTACATACTATGAAAAACAAATTGTAACACGAAAATAAACTCCCCACAATAAAAATCTCATTGCGCGCATTGCGGCATCTGGTCATTGCCAACGTCTACAGCATGCCTCAACTGAACCACCGCCGCTCTGCGCAAGGGAGCCTCGAAAGGTATCCTTCATGCATGCTACCTCACGTCGTGACACAATGTACCCTTCTAGCTCGTACACAACGGCCGAGTCGCCGCCGATAGACGATGATATCGATGGGAGCAGCTGTCCAGCATGGTACGTAGGCACCACCGACTTGAACTTGTCGAGAATGACATCAACATCCCTCCGTAGCACGTTCATCAACAAGCCTAGTTCGGCATTATGCGCAATGTGTGAGTACGTCCCAAGCTAATATCTCTTCTCTCGTCTAACATGTCCACAGGCAGTTCATCGGTCCGCCCGCGCACACTATCCACAGCGACGGGTCTTGGAGCTGCGGCTCATGGTACACGCTACTGATGTGTCTACATGTCGCCCTCTAATTCGATGGACATAGTGACCACCACAACGAGAACGGCATGCACGAATGCTACTACTGCGACGCGCCGTACGTGTCGGCAGTCGCGAGCGCCGTGCCGCTCACAATCTTCTGTTCCCGGTGTGGGGTGCGCAACTCGGGCACTTCAGGAGCGTGCATCTCTTGCAACCACACGTTGCTGTCCAGGTTGGAGTCGCTCAAGCATGAATGGACCGACACGGCCAACTTTGTCGCGCGGGACCTGGGGCTGCACGTCCACGTCCGGTGCCCGGGGTGCATGACCGTGTGCGCGGTGCCGGCGTCCGCGTGCTTTCGGTGCGGCGCGTGCCACACATGCTTTGCCGCGCCGACCGTCGGGGACGTCACGAGCTTCCACGTCGCCCGCCTCACGCGGTCCTTGTCCTCCAGCGTGCGCAGTCTGTTTCACACATCGGATCATCCGCCGCCTCGTCCTCGTTCCAAGCCGACGGCCCTCAACCAATCGTTTTTTTGGCGCTTGTTTCAACCAAGTGACAGCAGTGACGAGTCGGACGATGACAAGCCCCTCTTTGGGTCGCCTCGACGGAACCCCCCGCCGTCCTCCGCGGACAACGCGCGGACAATCCCTGTCGGCATCCGCCTCCCGCAGACCCCCCACGTCCATCGCACCGACAGCCACGGCGTCGAGTACAATCATCTGCCGCCGCCGCCGTCTCGACAGGTTCCCGTACACGTGATGGACTCGTACGTGGCCCCTCGCAAGAGCGACGCCATACCCACTTCATTCGAACGAGACTGGGACCTCCGCCGTATGTCGTCGTCTGCCGAAGAAGAAGCCAAGCAGGAGCTGGACGACGACGACGACGTCCTCGCTCTCACCGTGTCACACACGGGGGGCTTCCACGTGTCACATGCCCACACCGTGCATTTCTAACGTTAGTCTTATGGGATTCCAAAATTTATTGAATTTTAATTTTTATTGACATTTCTTCTTTTTTTTGAAATAATTTTTTATCACTACAGTACTAGTAGTAGTCCTGTACTGGCGTCAATGATTTGTTAGTTGGTCGTGTTTGAGAGACGACGTTACTAGAAGAAGCAGTAGTAGTACTAGTAGTAGTAGTCGTTAATAGTATTGTCGAGGCCGCTTGGCTCGGTCTTGTTCGTTCCATCGTCCGTGTCCTGGATCATGGGAAATGGGAGGCGGCGGAAACCGCTGGCGGTGACTGTCGTCGCGGCGGCGATGGTCGTCTCGTTGGTGGTCGTGGGAGGACCTGCTTTGCTTGGACCGACTTCGGGACCGCGACCGAGACCTTGCGTCGGTCGTGTGTCGATCCGTGGGGTGCCACTCCATGTCTTCGTGCTGCTGGTGATGGTGCTGCTGGTGGTGATGTGGAGGGGGAGGACGATGGAACGAGTGGAGGTCACTGTCGCTGCGTCGATGGTCAAGACGATGGGGATGTTGTTGATGCAACGACGACACGACGTCCGGGTGGCTGTGGCGGCGGCGGAGCGCGGCTTCGTACTCCTTTCGCTTCTGTTCCTTGGCCTCCGCGGCTTCCACGCACAGATCCAGCAGCGCCTGCATGTCTTTGGTCTCATCGTCCATTCTCGCCGCGATCTCGATGAGCGACATGTCGTCCAGCACGACGTGGTTGGCCAGACTCGTAAAGTGCGCCGTCAGTGCCGTCCGCTTGTCCAGCTGGTTCTCCAAGTGACGGCGGAAGGCCGCTACATGCGTGGCGCTGCCGTCGAGGTCGATCTCAAACACGGGGATTTCCAACTGGTCCCACTCGGTGATCGTTGTCTCGTCGTCGTCGGACGTGGTTGTCGCCTGCGCAAAGTAATGCAAGTTCGAACTCAACTGAAACATCCGATCGCTCAGTAGATCCGTCGACACCACTTCGCCTTCGAGCTCCTCGATCATGCGAATCGTGTCCCGCGTCATCTCCGAGTCCACGGCGTCTGGGATGTCTTGCAGCACGAGGGACTCGTCGTCGTTGTTGGTCGCCGCCGCGTGCTGCTTCGCGAGCGCCATCGTGTCCTTCAATGCGTCCTTGCGCGCATTCACGACGGTACTGCACATGTCGCTCATCGTGTCGATCACTTCGTCGCTCAGCACATGCCGTTCCCGCCACACCTGGACCAACTTGCGCACCACGTCCTGGGTCTTCTGCGTTCCTTCCGACATCGTGATCGCGATCGCGAGCATCAACTTCTCCGCAAACGCGTCGGGAATGTCACGGCCGTACTTGCGCATGCCGGTTTGCATCACGTCGTTGGCAACGTACAAGTGCACGACCTGGTGCGCCGCCTTTTGCACCTTGTAGCTCGAGTACCACACATCCACCATCTCTGCGATGGCCCGACGGTGGAACAAGATCCATCCACTCAGCGCCTGAATGCTCGCCGCGGTCTCGCTGCATGTAGCGAGCTTGTCTGCGAACCGATCTGGGGAGAAGTCCGAGGGCATGATGAGAATCGAACAATGCTGCGCTCGTTCGACCAATAAAACGGGCACAAGCTGGAAAAACCAAATATATGGGGATTTGTATGCTTTATATCTCCAGTTGAAGTTTGCACCAGAACCTCCGACCTGCCGACCCGACAGCGCCTCGGCGAAGGAGACAGCAAGTGCGGCATCTACGTGCAGGTGTCTCCATGACGTCGGGTGAGGTAGAGCAATGTGAGAAGGAAATGTCAATGGATACCAATAGCTGAAGTTACCCCCCTCACAAGCAATGTAGGACGGACGACGCTTCAATATAGCAGCGATGGCATGCACCTGTGGTGGATCTACACTGGGCTGTGCATTGGGGGGAGTCCACGACTCAACATATGATCCTAGTACATACACAACTCCTCCATGTTCATTGCGATGTACTGAGGGGTCACTCCCCACTAGTGCTAAGCACACGCAAATCGCAACTGTTGTTTACTCTTTCATGAGGAACCTTGCGCCGCCCCAGTCGGATTTTCATATTCCCTGGTAGATTTCGTCAAACTGGACTTTTACAGTCATTCGAAACCGTCTGAAACTGTTCAAGAACCCCGAAACCCCGTCGTTTTTTAAAGCTACTACTTCGAAGTAGTACTACTTTTGAGTTCAACCTGTGTGTGCGTTCGTACTACAGCTACAGTACCGGTAAAGTAACGCCAGTTGTCAACAACTTCACTATGCATACTGTACACATCGGAGGAGGACGTCAACTTGAGATGGTTCAGTCTGGTGAGGGAGCGGCCAATACATGATGAAGTGCCTGTGAACCACTTTGCGAGTGGTTTCGACTTTTGTCATCGGCTCGAAATCGGCCGTTCCTTGTGAAACCAAATGGGTGCACATCCCACCTCCTGCTGAAACAACTCGCACAATCTTGGTTGTTTGGCCGTTTGGTCTACCTCGTGAGGTTACTTGGCGTAAGGGGCGTGTACTACCTGACGCAGCCGTCATATCTGGTCTGTGCATGACTCACTTCTTGGTAGCCACGTCGACGTAGACCCCCCCCCTGGCTCAGCAAGACTCGTAGATGGCGGCCACCACGAGATATAACACTCTGGGATCCCCCCCAGCAGGTGCAGTTCACGCAAGATCCTTTGACCAATCAGAAAGACTTGGCGCGCCCCCCCCCTCGTTGACGTCGACGCACCCTTCGACGACTACGCGTGACTGACTGTACACATTTGAGTAATATATGTCGGCGACGTGCGAACTCGTCTTGTTCCAAGGCGACTAGTACTACTCCCAAGCAGTAACGTCTCACGGGGCCTTGCTGCCTGCCGCCTACCATGTCAACCGCAAGAAGTGTCCCTAACCGTAGCGGTCTACATGCGCCGGGCGATGCGTAGTTTTTACACTCGTGCTGCTGTGTGTAGCCTTCTACCTGTGCGTGAGCATCCTCCTTAACCGCGGAGGCGCGAGGGGGGTGAACGTGTAATCACGTGGCGGGGATGGTCTGGATCGTGTTGCTAACAGTAAGGAGGGTATCTGCCTTCTGCATCCTGACCACGGCGAGGAAGCCGAGTGCGCCGTCCGCCTGACTGATAATGCCTGCATCGGCAGTTTTTAAATCGGGACGTTCAGTCGGTCCTGCCCCTGCTCGTCCTCCCAAGATCTTATCTTGCTGTGGTACGCGCTGGACTGGCCACAACGCACCCCACGCGGCGGCTCGGCACCAGTGTGACCCGCAACCCTAGTAGGAGCGCCGCCATGGCAGCGTTGTCGTGAAGGACATCATGACGTGGCGAGTGTTCGCTGTGATCAAGACAACGACACGTGACGCGGCTGTACCTCTGGCGTGCGACGAGTAGTAACGCAGTGGCATTCACTCTCGACGGCTCGTGGCTTCAGCACTTGCTTAGCAACTTGACGTCAATAAGCGCAACGGTTAAGCATACTAACGACAGTATTAATCTAGTAAGTACTTGAAGTGTCGTCGGTTCGTTGACTAGTACAGTACTGTACTTCGAAGTACAACACAATTATATTATATTAACCATAGTATCCAAGGTTGGTATTAATATTCAATGCTGTCCCGTACTAGTAAGTCTTAAGTACCAGGGTACTATTGTGCTTTGCACTTGTTTTGGCGTCGGCTTACGTGGCTAAAAGAGTGGTACTTCTGCTGTAACTGTGCTACAAAGTTGAACAAATACCTGGGAGATGCGGGAACTGGCGATAACTCATCATAACACGAAGTTATGGAAGGCCGAAATCGAGGCATTCATGATTGGCGAAAGCGAAACTGGAGTTTCCTCGCAGCCATCCAACTTGTTGGAGAGGGACATTGGCTGTTGCATGTGCGATGCCTTGCATTCAAAAAATTCACGCCGTTTCACATTGAAAACATATAAGTTCCAGATATTTCATCACTTTTGCGGATGCAATATTTTTATTGCGCATGTGCAGTTTTTGTGGTACTCTGACAGCATGTCGTCATGCGCATATATCGAAAATGGACGAACTTTGATGAGGTTTTTCTCGAGCTGTGTCATACTTAGCGCTATCCTACTGATATTAAAAGATAGCCCATTACTAGCTCAGCCTATGCAGCATGGTCTGTGCATACACAGCTCTCTCTGGCATAAGGCATCTTACCCGCATGTACACGCTTGTTCTTGAAATACGACGAATTTGGCAAGTTCGAAGTTGTCTTTCTCTACAGTTACTGTATTGATTCAGGCGACATGCAGTAAGGTGTTCTTGATAGTATTGGTTGTTGTTATGAGGAGTGGAGAGTTTCGTGACCCGTTGTGCAGTATGCATTGAGGAATCGCTGACCTGCATCGCGCTTTTCCCGCATGTACGCATGCACAATCTCCAGGATGTATAAATCGTTTGTGCAAAACGTAAATGAATAAAAATACGCATATTTAATACAAATATCAAAATAAAAATGTTCAAGCGAATAATAATATGTAACTGTCGCACGCATGTACACGTCGTTTGATTCCGTGGAAGTGGCAGATTCAGTCGCTGGTTGACTCGCACGCGACAACTTGAATAAAGATGCATGTATCCCCTCGACAATGGCATACCACGATTTGAAGGAATCAAGGACGTTGAATTCGTCATAGTGATGTGTTTGTGTCCTGTTCCCGCATCTCCCTGGTGTTTTGGCTAATTCACTGGGGTTTTATAAATGCCAAATAACTCTGAGCAATAGTACAGGTAACTAACTAACTGCATTAATTGGATCACAGTGGTACTTGCATATTTTTATACTTGGCCAAAAAAATATCAAAGGGATTCAGTCATTTCCATTTTAGCCAATAAGTGATCGACAAAATAGCGTAGTGCCATTCGTCATATTCGACGACACCACCTTGTCGTAAGGTTAGTAGCTCAATGATTGCAAGTGCAAATGATAATCCAAACTGAATTAATCAATGATTGTAAGTGCGTTTGAAAAAACCTGGCCAAATGTAGTTCAGTTGTAACTAACAGGAAGTAATGTAGGTAACTTATGCGTTGGTGTTAATTGTGTACTGTTTTGTATTTAAATAAATCTGTCGAAATTTTTATAACACCCACGTTTTGACTCACCTCCATTTTATATGAAAATTTGTATGTGATTGTTGTACCACTGTGATCCAATTCCAATCTGTAATCACGCTGAAGTGACCGAAACACCTTGGCTGTTATTCCATCGCGTAGTACATGCTACCTGCATGTACTGCAATGGAACAAGACGATGACGTGGTTTTCTACGACGTGGCACCATACGTACGGTAGAACTCTGGCGCATGTGAATTGTGCAATTTGGTAAAATGCATAAATGACCTCCCTATAATTACATTCTGTAACATCCTAAATCATGGTGCGGATTATCTAAAATATTCTGAACAATTGTTTATCGTGTGAAAATAGCCAAAACGAGTGAAAAGATAGATTTTGTCAGCCTGGGACTTCCGGATAACAATATATATCACGCACTCCATTATCCGGATGCCTGCCTCTCGCTTCAAGGATGCATTGTTCCAGTTGGACTCGGCAAGATGGACGGCATCGATGGCGTGGTGAAGGGCGTCGTGTATGTCTTTGGGTTTGCCGCGACAGGATGGAGTCTCATGAAGTTTGTTTTGTCAGTGCCTCTGGTACATGCATCTTATTCCTTCCCATTCTAAGGCTAATGGGTGACGTTGCAGCGCGTGAGCGACACGTCCGTCGAGGAAAAGGACATGGAGGTGGTCCTGAAGGTGCGGTCTGACGGGCCTGAACTGCAGATCTTCTTGCGCGAAGTCAAGGAGCAGACGGACTTGACGTTGCGTGTGAAGAGTGATTCGTCGCTGCTGCATGACGCGGACGACCCAACGAACCCAGCGACGTACGTTCTCGCGGGGGCCGTGTCCCCTGTCGTGTACCAAAAGCTCGCGGAAAGTTGCGGATTGCGTAAACGCACGACCAAGGGAAAGTGGGTGCATGTGGACGAGGCGAACCACAAGGAATTTCTCGACGAGTCCGTTCCTCTAGACGCTGACGCTGACGCCACCGCCGCCGCCTCCTCGGGTGTTATTCCCTTTACGTCGGGGGAGAAGATCGACTTGATCTTGTACCAGCTCAGTCAAGTGCGCGTGCTGCTCCATCCATCCGAATCGTCCACCGTCCTCGCCAATGGCGACCTGTTGTTCCAAAAGTTGCAGGAAAAGCGCGTGATTCTATCGTCGTTCGCGCTGCACAACGCCGCGGAGCGCAAGGCGTTGATGGAGACGTGGGTCAAGCACCTCGTTCCGTTCGCCAAGGCACCGATCCACGACATCCGCGACTACTGCGGCGTCGAAGTGGGCTTTTACGTGGCCTTCCTCGAGCATTACACGCGCTGGCTCGTGTACCCCGCGGTCGTGGGCGCGCTTGTGTACTTATATCAGCTCCAGTACGGCCTGCACAACTTTGCGACAGCATTTTATGCGTTGTCTGTGACGACGTGGGCGGCGGCGTTCGTGGAGGCGTGGAAGCGGCGGGAGAGCGAGCTCGCGTGGCTCTGGGGCCGACCGCTGGCCGAAGACGAGGATGGCGTGGTGGTGGAGCGGCTGGGGTTTGAAGGACCCGACGAGTACGACGACGTCGACGGCGTCAGGTACAAAAAGTTCACGGACGGCGACCGCTTCAAGCGGTACGCAGTCACGATGCCCGTGTTGGGCGGCACCATCGCGTCGATTGTGCTGCTCATGCTCGGGTACTTTCAGTTCGAGGTCAGATATCCAATGTATTTATATATCATATATATATATATATATATATATCATATATATGTGTATTTGGGCGTGTCCAAAGAGATCATGACATGATAGATTGAGAGTTTGTGTTGTCCGTACGTGAGTGTTTGGATACTATGGCCTTCGCACACGAATAATAGATGTGTCAAATATATACATTAATTGCATGTGTGGGGTCAATTTTCAATCGGATCGATATATATATATATATATATATATATATATATATATCCTAGTCCATTTGGTATATGTATATATGTATTTCCCCGTTTTGACGAGAATCAAAAAGTGTCCAAATGCAACGGAATGACGATCGATATTGATCCTTTTTCAGCTAAAATGTGGATATTATTTGTATGCGGCGTCGCCAAATAATATATCCATCAAATCGATGGTTTGTACTGAATGATGCAGTAAGTAAACACTGACCAGTGTCTTCATATCTTCATATCAGTCACACCCTATTTCGAGTGTATTTGATTGGCCAATTGAATAGTGTCGAGTGTATTTGATTGGCCAATTGAATAGTTTCGAGTGTATTTGATTGGCCAATTGAATAGTTTCGAGTGTATTTGATTGGTCGATCATCGAATAATCAATCGATTGTGGCTTGTCGATTTGGGGCTGTTGATCCCCCTCCAGTGTGTCCAATATAATCGAAAAAGGACTTAATTTCCATCTCAAAGTGGACTATGTATCTATAGGCCGCCGTCCGCGCCGCGGTGACCCCCGCGAACGGCTTTGATGGGCTGTGGGCATATGTGCCCATGGTGCCATCCGTCTTGTACTCGGCCGCCGTCTTCTTCATTGACGCCAAGTACGTCCAGCTGGCGCACCGCCTGAACGCGTACGAGAACCACCGGACGGATGCCGACCACACCAATGCACTCATTGTCAAGCTCGTGCTGTTTCAGTTCGTCAATAACTTTGGCTTGCTGTTTTACATTACGTTCTTCGTGGGCAACTTTGAACTGCTCCAGAGCACGCTCGGGTCGCTGCTCATCACTCGATTGCTCATTGAAAATATTGTGGTACCGTGGCTATATCATATATATTATCAGTGTACTATATGTATATATATATTGATTGATTTGGTAGGAAACGCTGATTCCATTTGTCATGTCCAAGTCTGCCGTCAAAGCCAAAGCTGGGCTAGCGGAACAACAGAACAACGCCAGCCTCACTCAGGAACCGTCGGTCAAAGAAGTGGCCGTCGTCAACAAGGTACAATATATTATATTATATGTTTTATCATATATAAATACATTATATCTATATATAGTACATGTACATTATATGCAGGTTACTATATATATATTATGTTTTTATGCGTCGCACGCTTGTGCAAATAAATATATTTGCCAATATCTACTGTATATGTGGAGATTGTGTCCATCGCTATCAGTATGGACATACAGCACCTCTATGATTGTGTCACTACCTAAATATATATATATATATATATCCTTGGTAAACTATTAATAGTATGTAAACTGTAATAGGTCGACGTCGAAGCGTTGTTGCCCGAGTACGAAGGCACGTTTTTCGACTACTTGGAATTGTTTTTGCAGTTTGGGTACGTCGTGTCGTAGTTAGTACTATTATTATAATATTTCTTCATTCAACCAAAAAATGGCATATATATATGTTCTAGTCAAATCACGCTGTTTGCGTCGGCGTACCCGCTAGCAAGTGTGTGCAGTCTGCTCAACAACTTGATCGAAATCAAAAGCGACGGGTTCAAGATCCTCATGGCGCACCAGCGCTGCCACCGCGACCACCCCGACGGCATCGGCACGTGGGTGCACGCTTTCACACTGCTGGGGTACGTGGCCGTGGCCACCAACGTGACGATCGTCGGCTTCAACTCCGGCGTGCTGCAGCGCTTG